TTACTGGAGTTTTGATGGCTTTGACATGGTTCCGCTCAACGGGCTACTTTTAAGTTCCTATCACTGAACCACCGGGAGAAGGAAACACTACATTTCTGATTGGCCCACACAGTTGTGGAGTTTCAACAAGTGAAACCATATATATTCAGTGCTAGGAGGTCCCATGAATATGTCCCAATTACCCCTCAAACAGAGCAAACAACCAGAATTCCCCTCAAGAAGGAGAACATACTATTTCTCAGTTTTTCACAGCTTAAAAATGTATTATTACAAACACTGATCGCTGATGTCTGTTAGACCCCTTCGTACAACGGACCTTTTCAAAAGGAAGTTGAAAATAGACTCAGAGAACACAGCTGCTGACTGTTTTAATTTTACAATCCAAAAGGAAGTTGAAAATAGACTCAGAGAACACAGCTGCTGACTGTTTTAATTTTACAATCTGTTAGGGGAGGAGTAAGTCAGAGAAAGGAAAAATGGGGGGATCAAATAGTATCTGATTTATTAAGCCAAACAAATTTATGAACTATTAAACCAAAGTACTACACCAGTGAGTGCAAATTGTGACAATCACAATGGCCAATCAATGACCTAAAGGCTGTCTTTTTTCAGGTCTGAACAACTAAGAACTAAGAAGTCTCATCTGAAAGTAAACACATGGGGTAAAATGGGGGTTGGGGGCAATTAAGGGTAGATGGGGCCGAGAACCCCCTCAAAAATGATTTGATTTTAAGAACAGTGTGGGCCTCGAGCTTGACCAAGAGGGGGTGCTATTTTCTCAGCAACGGAGGCTCCTTTGATGGGAACTGATCATCGCTGGTTCGCAAATGACTAGGAAATGCATGTGTTACTCTCACATCGCTATCAACAATTAAACACTCCGGACCAATGGGGCTCTTTTCAACTGATGACGGGGTGCTTCTGCTCAAAGCGGGTACCTAGTGTTGTCAAGTCCATCACAAGCCCTAGCTTTCACAAATCCCTTCACAAGTCCAGTCAAACCCTCTCACAAGACCAAAATTGTAAATACAACCACTGAGGATGTGACGGGGGGGGGAACAATGACTAAGAAATGCTTCAGTCACTGTTCATTGAAAAGTTTGTGACTTGGCTTAAGACGGGATGACCAATGATGGACTTGCAATGACCTGTTATTGACTGTGGACTCGCCAACACTGCAGTCACTCAACTCTTGTGGTTCCCCTCTGAGACAAATGACGTACAGGTCTGAATCCCTGCAATGCTTTTGAAGCTACTTTGGCAAAGTACGGAAGTCATTTTTATTGAAACACCTTTTACCAATAGTTCCGTTACAGTCAAATAACTACATTAACATCGGAAGCATATTTGAAGGAAACAATGTACATGTACTGTCAATAGGCAAGGTTTCTTCCTTTGGACAATGTGTAGGTTTTCACAAAAATGAATAAAAGTGCAATATATAAATACATGAAATGAATTTCAGCAACTTGGACACCCTGTTTTCTAATTCTAAGTGAAATTGGCTCTCAGTGTTCTGACGCTGGTTAAACCCTGACCAACACAATGTTTCTTTAGTTTGAATTGATTTTTTATTTTAGTTAAGCTTTGTCGTCTCTTTATATGTTTTGTTCTTTTTTGTTTCATTGAGTAAAATAGTGGCATTTAAATTTGGGTAGGATCTGTTCTACAAACGTAATAAAAACATGAAAAATTTTTCTATTTGGCATGCAGCTGCTACTGTTTTACTTAGTACAAAAATAAAAGAATACTAATGATTGGAAATTGAAATTGAGCTTTACATATTTTGTAAAGCACTAAAAACGGAATTTATAATAGTTAAACAGCATTCTACAAAAATATAAGAGACCTTTTTCTTTTGGTATAATATTACACAAACAGGAATAAATGAAAAAATAAGAAATTTTAAATAAGCTTTAAATTTTTTCTAAAGCAATAAAACTTAAATAATGTATTAAAGCACTTATTAAAAATAATATCGCATGTGTGCAACAGGAATGAAAAAAGTTCTTTTTTACTGCTGGTGCTTAACATGCAGCTGCCACTGTGTTACTTAAACGCATAAAGAGAATTCTTACAACTGAAAAGAGAAGTGAGTTTTACATATTTCAGGTATAAAGCAATACAAGTGGAAATTCAACACTTCACTGTTACATGTACATCTTATAACAATCCGTTTGTCTCATTTCTACTTGTTATGGCCAAATTCACACACTAGTGCCTATCAACAATCCTTTGCATTTACACACCTTAAAAGTAAATAAATAAAAAAATTGATTTAAAAAAAAATTCTCGTGTATTTAATATACATATGTGTAAGTTTTATTATACAAAGATTTTATCTTTGGATTTCCTAATATGGGCTGGTACCAAGTCATAACACAATTGCAATCTTATGTCTTTATTCTGTATTTTGTGTGTATCGTTATGTGCGTATTGATGTATTTGCTTACATATTGTCTCACTTTGTTCATCTCAATGTTGCCTTTATTGTAAGGATGTGCTATAATTCAGCCCTAAGGCTGCTGTTGCCAGTTTTTAATAAACCAGTAGTAATAATAATACATAGATTGGCGGAAGTCTGGTTAAAAGAAACTTTTCACTTTTCATTTCTCCCTTCCCATTTCCTTTTTTGAAGTTTTGAAATATTTCTCAGTGTGCTTTTTTTCTGACAAAGCATATTTTTCTGACAAATTTCTCACCAAATCCGGTCATGGCCCAACATAAAGTACAATGACGTCGCACTTTGTTTACATGTGTGCTTTCTTATGGGGCCTTATTGAATCAAGTCCCATCTCACTGCCGTAGGAAAGTGCACAGGTCAGCAAAGCCTGACGCCATTATGTTACAGCTCTAGTCACTTCCCCTAAAACAGCAAAACAATTTGGAGTTTGAACACAAAGCATGCAGCCACAGTGTGGTGCCCATAACATTGAAACATAAGTACCACATCAATCTGACAAGGCTCCCAACTATTCACGATAGTCCTTCTCATTTCACTAGGATAAGTGGAATGAATTATCAAATATAGAATACTGATTACCGGTACCCCCCCCATTGTTTCAGCCTCAGTGATGAACTTACCAAATGCGAATACTTTGCAAAATTCAATGAACATATGGCATATTGTCAGTGTATACAAAAATGATTTTGACTTTTAAAAAATCCTGTCATCACATAGCAACAAATATGCGATTCTCAATGGTGAGGGGACATGTGTTTTTGTCACCCACTGTCCTGTAATCATTCTGAGCCAAAGCAAATTGCAGGATACAACGACAGAATCATACATGCAGAGTTAAGAGCAGGATAAAATAATTACACTATTGCCAAGTACAATTCCTGAAAAATGAATTAAGACAATTAAGGCTTGGACAGTGCTGACATGTACATACATGGAAAAAACGAATCCTAACGCCAGAAATTGCACAATGATATGGAGTACCAAAGTGAATACGCCATGCGCACAATTATGAGTGTAAAAGGCATTACGGTGAGAACCAGTGAGTGAACCAATACACGAGCATACTCCATTCGTTTACACTACACTTTCTGGTTCACAGTGACATCACACTTTGGTACTCTATGGAGCAGGTACACTGCAAACTACTGTCCAATGATTCCAATTTTTACAAAGCCTGGAAAAAACTTTCAAAGAATACCCTGATTAATATACGTAAGAGCAAGATTTTTACAACAGATTATCAATGTTGAGTTGGTATTTCAACCCAAACATGGGCACATTTCAGGTTGACAAGCTAAGAAGATATCTATGGTACCTACTTGTATTCAGGTAGGCACACTAATGGCACAAACAGGTGCAGCATTTACAGAGTATAGTTTTTTCCTTATATGGCAAACAAAGCAAAGTTCAGTGGCGAGATTGACCAATGATAAAAATAGCTGAAAACAGTTGAAAAAAGGCATAAAAAGCTGAACTGTGAAAATCTCCTTTTCTTTTGTACACAGCCAGTGAGGAAAAAAAGCTGAACTCCAATGCAAAATCAAGCTGAAATCAGCTGTAAAGCTGAGAAATCTCACCCCTGAAAGTTAAACAAAGCCAAATATGTACAATTTCAATATGCATGATAGTTTGAAATGCAAGTCACGAGGGTGAACTTAAAAGCCAAGCATGCTCGGACATTATCCATGTCTAGCCTCCCCATTTGTGTGGACAAATAAGGAAAACGGTTAGAAAATGTCTGATGTCCAACCATAATTTCATTCTCTTGGGTTATCATTTGCCACTAATGATTGCCATTGGCGCACAATTTCAGTTAAGCATATTAGGATTTAAACCAAAATATATAAATCTTGAATGACTCAACAGCCCACAGTATCTCTACGCTGCCTTGAGAGTTGGAGATGAAGGCTAATGGGAGATAATCAGTTCTCACTTCTAAAAGTTTCATTTTTTACAAGACGGGGTCTTGCAGTTGAATTACGCTGAATGAATATGACTTCAAAAAGGGATCTGATCTTCAAGGTTTCTTGCACATGATATGCATTGACTCAGTAGCTATTTCAGTGATGGCAACAACTTCAAAGTTGGCCGTTTCCAGCATCTTCTGGGCCTCCTCCCTCCCCAAGAAAGCTCCTAGCCCCGCCCCATCCCCTTGCACCAGGGAGGTTGGGAGACAGTTCAGCACGCTGTAGGTGTAGTCCAGACAGATCCTGTCGCGATCCTCAAAGGCCAGGTTATCCTTCAGCTTGGAGTGGCTGTTGACCTCGATGATGGAAAGGGTGCCACCTGGTCGGAGTACCCTGTACATCTCGAGGAGAACCTGAGCAGGGTAGGATAAGTCGTGCAGGACAAAACTGATGAATACAAAGTGGAACCTCTCCGTCCAGTCGGTGGGCAATCGCGATATGTCGCTAGCCAGGAATTCAACATTGGTGAGGCCTGTCTCCTTGGCTGTTTCTTTCACCTCCAGGATTGCAGACTCTGACAGGTCGACACCGCAGAACCTACTCTTGGGGAAGTGACCGGCCAAGATCCTGGTGGACAGGCCTGCCCCACAGCCAGCATCAAGAACTTCTATTCCCTCATCTGAAGGAGAGGAAAACTAAAATGTACTTCAAGGAGAAAGTAATTTCAGAATTGAGTCAATTTGCGGTACGTTCCTAGGCACAAAGCTCAGACTGATTGCTTCGCAAGCCAGCAAGTTGCCAATTAAACATGTAAAACATCCCCACTGGTTTTAATCACTTCCCACAGAAACTCAGCTCAATTCTGCCTCATAACAACATTCACTTTGATTCAGGTGATGATAGGGCATACTTGATAAGACCAATTTTCATGGGAGAGAACTGCTTATCACACCATGCCTGATAATAACTTTGCTCCAGGGTTGTAACTTTGGTTGTTAAATGTGCTGTTCCCTAGTGCTCTGCACTGAATGTTTATAGGGGTATTTATTTAGGTTGTAAGTTCCAACCAACCCTCTGTGTGTCTTTGAGCAAGATGATTTATCAGGATTTATTTTCTTTGGGCAATTTGAATTCTTAAAGTTCTTCAAAAACTATGTGTACATGTAAGGCCAACAAACCTGGGAGTTGCACCGACTGTCAGCCTGCTTCTAGATTTTTCCAACTAAGGAACATGTGTGCCTAAATTTATTAGATTATTTAATTTCCATTTACAAGTGTGATAACTCAATAAACATCAGTGGTCTTTACTTATGAAAACACATCACAAACAATGTGGAAACCCAATAACTATCAAAGGTCTTTACAAGTGAAATGCATCACACAAAAGAAATCAATATCATTCTCTGATGGTGACTGAAAGGTTGAGCAAAGGTTTGACACCAACAGCACGCACGATCCACCGTGACCATAACAACATGCACATAATTTATGAATTTTGGATCTTGTGTGTGATTCAGAGGACACCTTGTTACCTGGCAACAAAGTCCCTGAGGACCTACATAACATGTATATGCGCTGGTTCATACAGGAACATACGTACATGTATGCATGTGTAAGGCGTGGCACACAGGATTTGAATGCACACATATCAGTAAAGTGTAGGATTAGTAATTGTTTGATTTTTTGATATCCAAAAAGGAATCAAATCTTTTTAAAATCAAATCATATGGCAATGATTTGTATCCAATTTGTTTTAAATAAAGGGGTTGTCAATATAATTATCTATTTCAATGGAAACATGTATAAATAAACAAACCATGATTTAATTATATGAGATTTAAATCAGTCTATTTCATTAAATGTAAAAAAGGATTAAGCAGGGATTTAAACCAAGTTAATTTACTTCAGCCAACCCCAACAGAGTGGTCACTCAGGCACATGGCAGCCTGAGCCTCCCTGTGTCACTAGTTGGGGAGGATGGGGGTCAGTGGGGCTTATCCAGCAAGTATTAGTACATACAGATTGTATATACGGTGTATGTACAGTACCATGCCTACATCAAGTCATGACAAGGATGCGATGGGGCAGTCGTGGCCAATAACTGGTTCTGGTTACCGATCAGAAGTTTGGGCACTGTTGGTGATTTGTTGTTTTCGCGCAGAGCTACATGTATGGCCATTGGTCCTGCTCCAGGTTATGACATCAGGAAGATTTTGTTTCATGTACACTAAAATGTAGCCCGAGGTATATGAACAAACCCAGTCCATGCTACAAAGCTACAACAATGTCCGTAAGAGGATTTTCTCACAGGGGGAAGGAGATGAACTCTGTATTGAAATGGGCAATGGCCGTTGGTGTTCTGGAGCAGTTTAGTAAGCTCTGTTCATTTTCTTTTCAACTTAAAGACAGAATGCAGAGTTTGTGTTGCAGTCATACCAATCACCAACATGACACAAGATGTCAGAACACAGCCAGTCATGGAAGAGACAGTGTGTAATATCATTCAACCAAAAACACACACAAAAAAAGGATGAATCTCCAACATTTTTCTCATCAAATGTATTATTTAGGTCTTTATACCATTTCTTGAAGCTGACCTGAAACATCCCTTGGAAATATTTCATCGCTGGTGAGCTATTTTGTTGTTGACTGGGGCTTAATAACTTCATCGTTAGGCCCAAGCCAATTCTGGCCATTGGCGCATCCTTGCACAGTATGAGTGTTTCACAATAGTGCACCTACAAGAGTTTGCAATGCATCGGCCAATCACAATGTGCAAAATCTGTCGACCCCCAAATACGTTTGGAAAGGGTTGACAGATTTCACGCATTGTGATTGGCCAACGCGTTGCAAACAGTTGGAAGCGCACTATTGTCCTTTCCTGTATTCCAACTGCAGTTCACTCTCTGATGTTGTCTATCCACTGTTACCATGCCTTCTTCTTCCTCTTTTGTTCCCATCAGGTCTTTCCTCGTCTATCCGCTCTGAGCAGGAACAAAGGAGGGCATGTTTTTAAATGAAAACATCGGTCCTTGGGTAGGAAATCACAGCATCAGCGTTTGGCACGGCGCAGGCTGAGTACGCGTAACAAATTTATGCTCCAATGGATGAACTTCGTGTGTGCGCCAAATGCGCCCAGGAAACCGGTTGGAAAACTTCTCACCAGCCTGTCTTTCTTTCACCAGTGAGGGTGCACTTCAACTCAAACGGTTAATTGTAAACTATATGCACGAGACTTTCACATCTTTGCTTCAAGCAACAGTACTTTGCGATCCTTCTTTCTTTGACCACCATCATGATACCTTGGTGTTCAGACTCCTTTACTGGCTCTCACCTAATTGTTGGTTCTTGTTCTTGTCTTAGTCCTGCTGAGATGTAGTACCCTTCTCCAGAACCGCATATCAAAAGCCTTCAGAATGTTTTTGCCTGACTTAATGTCAGTCATAAAGAGACAATGGCCAAAACAGGTGGTGCACGAGCATGAGAGACAAAATCATGCCAGCGTGTGTGCTCTCAAGATGCAGACACTCGGCAGAGTTGGTTTTGATCCAGTTTTGTCGATCGTCTGTGTCTACGTTAGATGTGATAAAGCGTTTCAGTAGTATTGCATATTATCAGGGACTGTTTGGTGATGCTGCTTGCATTTTTTGACATCAATTTGAAAACCAGGCTTCAAGTACTTACCAAGTTGTTTCTGTATCTGGGGCATGGAAGGAATAAACTCTTGGATCATTTTCGTGTGGAACCAGGGCCCTTGTGTAACAGTCATCAACTCATCAAATCGGGGGTACTGGCTGAACGGAACTCCTGAGGGGTGTAAACAGCAAATGGGTACTTCAATCACTGGACCAGTACAACTTAAGTGCACGGGGTGTGTTTGGAAGGAGACAAATCATTGGATAAAATCTACATGGTCTTTAATTTGTTAAAACAATCTTACTTCATCAGATACGCGTACTGCTGTAGCTGGTTTAAAATTTTAGTTCTTACTTTGCAGAACTCATGTTAGTGTAGGCATACAGTCATTTGTACAAGTTTAGGACCACCTATGCAAAATGTATTGAACAGAAGAAAAAACTTATGATACCAAGTAATCACAGCAACTTATGTCTATTTTCAATGTGTAACCTTATTATCTTGGTTGAATAGCTAATTGATAACATTTCTATGATTCGAAATGTTAAAATACATGTACAATATTAATATGCAGGGCTCGAAATTGGACTAATTATCACCGGAGCAAGTACTTGCTCCCTAGATAGCTGAATTTGTCAGTTTGCGGGAGCAGGTAGCTCCCATACAATATTAAAGACACATGTTCAAGAAAAAAAAGCAAAGGCCCTGGTCCTTGCTGTTGCTTTTGTGCTTAGCGATGCGACGCCAACAGCCGGGCACTGTGCCTTTATAACGTGCATATGCACACAAATGTAAAAGGGAACTATAACTGCAGCAATTGAGCATTTTCAAAACGAATGGATTAGGCTGAGACTTTGGTTTCGCTGGTTCCAGCTATTTTGGAGCATGTTTCAAAACCACATGTTCAAGCTATGACTGGAACCAGCGAAATTGAAGTCTAAGCCGAATCCACTCATTTGGCTTGAATTTACGCACGAGTCTAGGAGGTTGTGGTCGTGGCCAGTTTCCATACAATCATGTGTAAATTCCAGCCATATGGATTCAGACACTGCCACTGTATAGACCATTTAGCGAGACTGTGACACTGGCTGTCGGTATTCGTGTGCACATTTAAGTGTGTGCATGCATCGCATGCGAGACTCGGCGTGTGCACGGTGACAACATTAAAAAAAAATGTACCGTGTTATTGTTTTGTGACAAGGCTGATCCAAAGTGAAGTCAAAAAGTTCCGCTATTTTCAATGACAAAAGTAGAAACAAACAGTAAAAATGTTCAGGTACATGTATTTATCATTACAATAATGGAATCAAATGGGCGCAAGTACTTGCACCTGTCTTTACGATTTATGGGCACATTTCTGAGACAAACAGGTGCATTTTAGCTACCAGCGCCTGTTAATTTTGAGCCCTGATAAGTAAATAATATTTTAGTGTATCCTCCATTTATCACAACTTAGACTGGCTTTTTGCTGAACTGAAGGCAAAATTTCATATAAGACAGTATGTTGCCATCACAGTAATGACATCTCATCCGAGAAGTCCGCAAGTTTTATAAAATCGTTCTTATTTAATGATTTAAAACAAACTTTTTTAGTGCATTCCTGGTCATTTCCAGGGTCACTCCCCGAATTTCAATGCACCTTGTCCAAATATACAGCTAGTAAGTAATTACCTGGGGGGCCATCTTTTTGGAAGCACCCCACCACTTGGAGGAAGCCCCCACAGAGAATCGGAGCGCTCATGGCAAGGCCCCTCAGCTCTGTGATGTTTGACCGATGGACAGGCAGCCAGTATTTCTCCTCCTCAGGGTCAAAGTTCACCACTCTAGCAGCTGTCATTGCGCCTAACCACTCCCTGACATATCTGCAGGTGGAATGAATCATTCTTTGGAATGTTGGAGTCAATTTAAAATTAACAAAAGAAAAATTTCTAAATTTTTTTGGACAAAAGAAAGGGACGATCGCTGGAATCCAACTCAGCTGGGAGCATTTCTTGTGATCTTAAGATGTGCATGTTATCCACACGACCACAAGGGTGGATCTGGGGGGGGGGTATGGTCCACCCCCTTAAAAAAAAGATGAGGATTTTTTTTTCAATCAATCAGAGTACAGATATTAAGTGCTTAAATGGAGTTTGTTTTGTAGGAACAGAGCCATTTGGTTCAGGAAATCGTTTCTGAGCAGAGCCTGCTTGATTCAAGTCTTGTGACTGGTGCAATCAGTGAATGGAAAAGTGCATGCGGGATGCTGCTTACAGTTCTGGGGGAAACATAGACCCTAGTTAGGCAAAGTTTGGTAATTCTTAGCCATGCAAGCTAGGCCAAACTAACTTTTAATAACATAACTGGCCTAGTCAGATTAGGCATGCCGCAGTGCAATGCATTATTATTTTTCGCCTGATTTACCTTTCTTTGAAGTTACCAGCGTCTGCAATCTCCACGCTGGTCTTGGGTTCTCCACCCAATGATATCAAGACATCAAAAAGCCCAGTCTCCATGCCAATGGCAACCACGATACCAATCATTCCGCCCACGAGCTTTTTCTCCATGTCAGCCAGAAACTCCTCGGCAGTTTCACCGCAATGGTTGTCGCCTCTGTTGGCCATTTTTTTTAGCAGACTGCTAGTAGGCTTAGCACCACGTACGTGACTGGTGTCAGTGTGTGAAACAACCCGAGAGCCGAGGTTTTGCTTTGTCTACAGCTAGTCACAGTATATGCAACTGGAAACTTCGCACTCAATTGCATGATGCATGGAGCATCTGCATTCAACATGCATTATGCCGGTACTCACGTGCATGCTCTGTACGTTCAAAGGCAGAGCTTATCGACACATAGAGGGCGTCCTTCACCAGGATCCTCTCATACTTTACCGTTCAAATTCGATTTAATTTATCATCCAGTTCCAAATAATTCTGAACAAGAATAAACACAATATGAAAAAAATAGTGCAATAGAAAATAAAGTAATAGAGTGAAAATAAGGTTCAGAAACGAGGAAGTCCATAAGAAGTTATGGTGTTCCATATGTGCCATCCGGCGTCGCATTTTTCGACGGGCGTCGCATTTTCATACTTGCGTCGCCTTTCATTGTGAATAAGCCATTAATCACCAATGGTCAACCTTGGTCCAGCCAGACCTGACGTTGTTGACGTGGATGCTAAAAGTGTGCGTACATATTTTTAATGATTATGGAAACAGCTAAATTAGCATGTATGCGTCGATTAACTGTATGTAAATAAATTAACAACCCTTTAATGAACCCGATTACTCGTGGAAGTTCACCTCGCTCAATTTGGTTTTTTACTTGTGCAAGCTGTTTGAGTGAAAAATGTCCCTGTACTGATGATTACTAGTTGCTACAAAAATCAAACCCAGTATAGTAGGCCTATTGTTCATTCTAGGCCTATTGTGGTTAGTATGGTATTTGCCATCTTGCAGACATGCTTCCAGAAGGAGCGTTTATCGCATTACGGTCTATAATTTAAAATGAAACTACTCTTGGCGAAGAAATGTCACGTACCATAACTTAGAGAAATTTTACTTTTCTTGGTTGAAAGAAGTTGTCAGCAATACAAAATCACAAAAAGTTTTCCGAAAATGCGACGGTGGTCGAAAAATGCGACGCCGGCTGAAAAATGCGACGCCGGATGGCACATATGGAACACCATAAGAAGTACTGTTTGTCGAGAATGGACCCCCCCCAGCTTCAGCTTCGCGCGCGTAGTCAATTTAAAAGTTACTTTAGATAGGCATGTTTGGGCTACAAAACGTGTCCCTACACAAAATACTAGCAAGATTATCCGCCTTGAGCAAAAT